AGTGTACTGCAGAGCAGAGTGATTGCCTGGCACACAAGGACCTGAGTTCCATCCCAGCATTTCAAAAGAAGGGAGGGATAGAGGAAGGGAGGGAGAAAGAGAAGGAAGGATGGGAGAAGGGAGGGAAGGGAAGGGAAGAGAAGGAAGGAAGGAAGGAAGGGAGGGAGGGAGGAACCGAGGGAGCAGAAGTAAATACTCACCAATGATGGTGCCTTAGTCTGTTTTCTGCTCCCGCCTGTAACAAAATACTCTGACAAAGTTAATTTAAAGGGAAAAGAGTTCATTTCAGCTCACAGTTCCTCATCATGTGGGGGAGGGGGATCTTGTCACAATACAGGCAGCTACTCACATTGCAGCCACAGAGCTAGTGTTCAACTCCATATGTTTCATACAGTCCAGGACTCCAGTCAGGGAATGGAAATGTCTAATGCTGGATCCTCCCACCTCAGTTAATGGCATCAGGATTATCCCCACAGACAAGCTCAGAGTCCCCTCTCCCAAGTGAGTATAGGTTCTGTCAGGGTTGATCATCAGTATTAACACAAATGACAGGAATAGGAAAGAGAGTCCTATAACTGCAACAAAGTGGTGGTTTTTAAATGCTCCATTGTAGCGTTCTTGCAATTTTTCTGTAAATTTGGAAATTTTCAAAATTAAAACATTATAACTCTGAAAACAGAAAAAAATGACAGAAAGCAAAGGTCTTTCCATAGCAGTGAACGGAGTCTGTTCATCAAGAATCACCAAGTGTCCCCTCTACCACTGTTTTGGGATTTTCTAAAACTCCAGCCAAGAATGCCTGTGATGTTGTGAACCCCTGCGACTCACCCTCTAGACTAAAAGGGCTCCCTGTGGGAGCCTGTACTAGGAGGTGAGAAAGGAACTTGACCTTCCCCGGGGGTGTGGGGAGAAAAAGGTAATGAGGTATTTTGAGGATATTTGGTGTTTGTGGGTTTTTAGCCTACCAGATTGACATTCCCAGCCCTGAGCATGAGCCAGACTCAGATTCCCCAATTTGGACTGGTGACTCAAAGCAGCCACTAAGACTGACACTGGGACCTCACAGGAACAACAGGATGCTTGTGGACTAACTACGGCAGGGGCCAATGTTCCATTTCTCAGCCACATCAGTCTGGTAGGATCTGCTTGCGTTTGTTGCCAGGCTACACACACAGCAGAAGGAAGTGGTGATAGGGGAGCCTAGAACCCTGCTATTGGATCAATTCCTTTTTTTAATTAAAAATGTTTTGCATTTATTTATGTGGGGCAGGGGAATGTGGGCCAAGGTGACTGTGTGGAGGTCAAAGGGCAAATTTCAGGCACCAGAAGTCAGTTCTGTGCTTCCACCATGTAGGACTTGGGCTCTGAGGTGCTGCCTCACAATCCAAAATAAATAAATGGATGACTGTCAAAAACTGCTGGAGAGGGATTCTCCCCCCACTTCCAGGGAAATATGTTTCATCTAAGAGTGCTGCAGAAGAGTAAGCCAGATCCTGGAAGGCCAGGTAGCCAGGTGTCTACACAGAGGGGTGCTGGTCAATAGCCCCCGTCCCAGTCCTTTCTCAGAGCATAGTCTGACATCTTCCATAATAAGGACAAGCCTAGAAACCAGAAAACACTAGATAGGACACCTCTATTCCCTCCTTCATTCCACATGTTCCAGTTAGAAAGCATTTGGAGTAAGAAAGGTAAGTAAGAAAAGTAAGTTGGTAAAGTGCTTGCCTTGTAAGCAGCACCCATATTAAAAAATAAATATCTTGGTGTGGCAGTATGCCCTTGGGAATTCAGCAGGAGGTGGATACAGGCAGATTCCTAGGGATGATCAAAAAACAGGGTAGGTGGCTCGTGGGGGTGACAGCAGCTTCCTCACATATGCACACAAAGTAAATACCACCCCAACACACACACACACACACACACACACACACACACACACGAAAGGGAAAAGAAAATGCAAGGTCTACTTAGTGAGTTCCAGAATATCCAGGAATATGTAGAGATATCTTGTCTCAATAAAAGAAGAGGAGGAGGAAGAAGAAGAAAAAGGAGGAAGCAGAGAAAACACTAAGTCTTGGGGAATTCTAACAGCAAGCCCAGCTCCTGAGACACTAAGATGTTCTTCTTGGACACTCCATCCCCCTGTTTTGCTCTTCATGGTGTTCTTCTCCTGGACTCTGGGCAACAGCCATCAGTGCCTGGCCTGCCATGGGAGACTGTACATTTTGGCAAGATCAGGAATCCTGAGGCATCACAAAGATACCTAGATGTTCTTGGTGCCATCAGCCAGCCTGAGTAGTGACAACCCTTAGTCTCTCAGCCTCTTAACTCAGCCAGTCTCCTCCTTTCTCCTAACTTTCTGCTTCTCTGCCCTCTCCACCTGCCCGAACACAACTGTAAACCTTCTAGCTGCGACATAGCAGCTTCCTATGGTGATCTTCCATGAGCAGTGGCCCTGATTCATCCCAATATCCAGACACACCTTCAGCTCTTAGCCACAATACATCTCTGCTGGATCCAAATTCAAGTTTTCCCTCTTCCTTTCTCATTTTGTCCCCATTTCCCATCCCTAAAGTACTGTCCCTTCCTTCACTCCCATCTTTCACGGGAAACTGTATTACCCCACCAGGAGTGCTGTGTACCAGAATTACAGTGAGTTGATTGTGGGGGCTGATCATGTGACAACTTTCCCACTCCAACAGAGGTGTGACAATGGAGAAGGAGCATATGCGACTCTGTGGCTTTTGCTGTGGAGCCAAAACTTCAAAAGTGGTAAAAATTGAATCCTTCCAGGTGAGGCTGTGCACACCTTTGATCCCAGCACTCAGAAGGCAGAGACAGGTGGATCTGTGATTCCAAGGCCAGCCTGGTTTATATGATGAGTTTCAGGCCAGCCAGAGCTGCATAGTGTGATCCTGTCTCAAAAAAACAATCATTCTGGTGATCAGTAGGCAGGAAGGGTAGAGTGCTAACAAACTCTAACCAACTGGGGAATAAGTGGATTTGGCAGCCATGAGGCCATATTTCACAAGGAGGGAACAGTTCAGGGGAGCCTTATTTCTTCAAGGTTTGAAGAAAAGTAAGCCGCAAAACCAACAACAGAACCCTCCATCAGAGTCTGGGATAGGTAGGAGCTGGGCACCACAGACTTGAACTGACACCCCTTAGCAACTCAGATGCTCCAAACACACAGTATACTGACAACATGCAAACACAGGGCAGCTTTGGTCACCCTTTAAGGCACCTCTGTTCCTTCTCCTTGTATAAGGAACCAACCTGTTTCTTTATTGCCACCTTTAAACACACAGCAAGAAGCCTGCAAGTACAGCTATAGTGGGTTGAGAAGAAGCAAGCCGGTCGGTGGTGGCTGACACCTTTAATCCCAGCACTCGGGAGGCAGAGGCAGGCGGATCTCTGTGAGTTCCAGGCCAGCCTGGTATACAGAGTGAATTCCAGGACAGGCTCCAAAGCCACAGAGAAACCCTGTCTCCAACCCCCCCCCAAAAGAAGAAGGAGTAAAAGATCTGATCCTGACCTCACACGTGCTTGAGGACACACACACACACACACACACACACACACACACACACACACACACACACCATATGAAAGAGGCCAGCTGATTAAAAAAAAAAAAGACTGGACACCTTTCTCTACCTGGACACAAGCATGAAACACAATGTGATTCCAAAAGCCTGAAGCGGACTAAGGCCGGAGTGGGTGGAGGTAAATGACCCATGAGGAGTCTGGAGCTTCATGCCAACACTTTGGAGCTTCTAGCTATCCCCAGCTTACCACCCTCTTCATTTCAGGGGTGCCTTTCCTTTCTTTAATAAACAGTCTTTATTTCTACGTCCAACCACCTGTGTCCCTAGTACAATTAATTGTTCTGAGACACAAGAAGCTGGAAATTCTAGTGGGTGTCTCCAGTCCCAGATCCACTCCTGTATACAGTTTTCCTTATTAACTTTGAATTTCAAGCCATGTCTCTACAGATGTACAGATAAGATAATCTACACGTTTGCATAGACATGTATATGTATGTTCTATGTATTTTTGTATATGTGCATGATATGTGTTTGGACTCATGATACAGCACAGTTTGTGGAGGTCAGAGGATAACTTTAGAAAGCCAGTTTTCTCCTTCCACTATGTGAGTGAAGGAACTCTAGCCAGCTCGTGTGTGGCAACCATGGCTCTGGCAGGCCTTGCCCTTCTCCCACATTCCTTCTGCCTTGCTGAAAACCATTAGATTACATCCCTAAAGCTAGCCACCAAGGTCTATTCCCTTATTTGGCCACTCCCTTTTCCTAAGGCTGACTACCAATGTCCAGCTATCAAATACTGAGGTCCAGCAACCAAGATCCCCGTTTGGCTCACCTAATTAACATGTCCAATTAAAATTAAACACCTTATCCTAACACGGGGAGTTTCTCCTTATACCTTTTAAGCCACTATTTTCCTATGTGCCACGTCTGTCTCTTCTCCATCCAGAGACAGTCCTTTGTTGTCGTGTCCCCCCCCTC